TTGGAAATCTCAAAAGTTCCCCAAAGTGGCCACTGATTCCTAGGGTTACTCTTAGTCAGATCTGCCCATTTAGTTAAATACGTGCATGAAAATTTCCCGCAGCTTGCAAACATTTATTCAGCTGGTGTCCCTGGAGGAGGGACAGTTTTAGAAGGCTTGGACATTCAAGATCCCATTTTAAAGGCTGGGCCCAAAACAAGTTATAGCTCTTATAACCTGCAGGTCTTCAGCTCACCTCACCCTGGAACAGTCTGATCACTGAGAACCAGGCCGAAGTCTAAAAGCCAGTTCCAGGTGAATAACCAACTCTCAGGGAGTTGAAGTTACAGGTTGAGCTGGCGCTGGGCCAAAATCAGTTCACAACTCAAGCAAATCAGGAATCTTCGCTTTGCTCCACTCTCACTCTGGAATAGTCTGATCGCTGGGAATCAGACCAAAGGCAAGAGACAGTTCCAGGCAAATAAGCAACTCTCAGGGAGTTCAGTTATTGGCTGAGCTGCGTGGCACTCCGTTAACTTTTCACTGAGACAGCACGATCTAACATCGGCTAAACTGACCAATTTCAGTAGAAATAACCTCTTCTCCCAAAGGGACGTTAGGCGAAGGCCAGTTTTTATCTCAAAAAGAAAGCAAGCCAACGTGCCATGAGTACAGACAAACAAATAGGCCTTAAAGCATTCACACACACACACACACACACACACACACACACACACACCAAACAAAACAAATAAACAAATGAAACAAAGCAGAAAAAAATTTTTAATTCCCGAATAAAACCTGGAGAATGCCAGACACAAAGGCCCATTGGTTCAGATCCAGGAGAGAAACTTACCCGAGGCCTCGAAGCCAGGGAGCAAAAAGTCTAGCGAAACAGCTCAGTGCGACGCCATAGCTGTTTGCTCACTGGTCAGAAGTCATTGGAGTGTCGTTCCTCTCTGGATCCCGGACGAGCCCCCAAAATGTTGAACTGGCGAAAAATAACTCTCCAAGTAATCCACAAAAGAAACAGTTTTTTCAGGAAAAGAAAAAGAAGCAAGACCCCCACCGCAGTGCAGACAGCACACCTCCTACACGGAGCTCCTACCAGCAGCCACGTGGAGGCAGAAAGACCCCGGTTCCCAGACAGCTAATCCCTTTATTATGATCCCTCCTCCAGAAATTACCATAAGGATAAACAGGAAGCGTTTTATAAGCATTATAGAGTTAACAAGGGGCTCAGCTCCACCATAGTCCTCCCAACTCTATGGTTAAGCATCTTAAGATGCCAGTTCACTTTATCACCCTCCTTCGTAAAGGATCCTACATCTGGAGACGGCCCAACTCCAGGGCCGGGTTGCACCCAGGGACTGCCTTATTGTCTAGATGCTGCCTCCCTAACTAAAAGGGTATGATTTCTCTGGGGGTGGGCCAGTGGGCCCTGCAGCTGGGAGGGATACCTACACTCCCCAGGTGTTCCTGCTGGCTGCACGAGTGCCACCCCCCACCCCCACCCCAGGCACTGTTGGGACCTGGTCCCACTCACCTGCTTGTCTGTCCAGCGCCCAGCCCTCCGCACCCCTTTGTGGGGGAATGGCACACCAGCTTCCAGTCCCATTCTCCAGACCCTCAGAAGCTCGTGGCTTCCCCTCAATGGAAGAGGGCCCCTCCCCTGCTCAGGACGGACCACTTTTCTGCAGAGCTGCACCCTGCTTCCCACCAGACCTTACCTCGCAGAGGCAGTCAGCTTCTGCTGGACGCAGTGGTGTGCCATCAATCCCACCTCTGCTCGTTCTCTGGGGCCCTGGCTGCGACGCCCCATCTCTGCACACATGCCCAGCCTCTCCAAGTACAACCTGGCCTTCAGGGCCGCCCCCACCTCCAGCCTTCCTGAGAACCAGCCCTCATCAGTCCCCCCTCTCCTCTGAGCCCCTTCAGGTCTGAGCATCAGAAGCGCCTTCAAAAGCCCATTCCCAGAAGCAAGATCTGAGATGGAAGGGGCCTGAGGGACCACTGAGGCCAGCCCCTTCCAGGACACTTCTGGGGGCTGCTCAGCCAGACAGAGTGGAGCCTGAAGATGAGGGAACTGAGTCCACCCCCAACTCTGCCCCATCTCTCTGGAGGAACTTGGAGAAGTCAATTTTCTTCCTTGGGCCTCGGAGAGGATTGAACTGGGTCTCTATGGTGGTGTCCAGATCTGAGACTGATATTTATGGTTTATTCATTGAATATTTCCTGGGTGCCTCCTATAAGCAAGGACCAGGCAACCAGCAGGAGAATACAGTCTGTGCACAGCTCTACACAAGGCAAACTAGCAGAGTGCACTGTGCAAATACAATGTCACTGTTCACCCAGCTTCTCACCCTCCGGCCCTTCTCCCATTTACCCATCCATCCACCTGCTGTCCACCCACCCACCTACCCAGCCGTCCATCCGTCCATCCATCCGTCCATCTGTCCATCCTTCCATTTCCACCCCATCCACCTGCCCCTCCACCCCTTTACCCATATATTCCTTAACTACCCATCTGCCCATCTACCCAACAGCTTACCCACCCTCCCCCCATCCACTTCCTAGCCACCCATTCCCCCACCTACCCACTCACCCCTTCACACACCCAGCCTCACACCCACCCAGCCACCCGCCCCTTTAGTGTAAGTGCCTCACAGTTAGCTTTCTTTGATTGTAAGGTGTGTGCCTGACATTAAGCTTTCGGTTGCTGAGGCGTCCATTTCAAAAACCTCTATCACGAGCAAACATATCGCTAATTACACAACTAGATAAAGAACCAGGTCACCCCATCCACGAAGTCCCACTTTTAGAAAGCCCTGGGTGACTTAGATAGCTGATTGCTTGAGTGACCTGGCTTTTCCCTTCCCATACCTTAATTCCCACTCATGTTTCAAATTCACCAATAAGGAGTGAACCCGGGAAACTCCCGGCGCCCACCCTCGACCCCAATAAAGGCAGAGCCCCACCCATGCCGCCCCCTTCCCCTCTCTGGGTGGCTCTGAGTGTGCGCTGGGCCCTCCAGGACCTCAGTGGTAAACCTTGTTACTCCACAGCTCCCTGATGGGTGTCGCTGAGGTGCATCTTGCAGTCACAATAACAGCCACAAGGCCGGTTCCACCACGACACTGGCTCCGGTCTGGGAAATGTCTATAGGGGAGCCCCAGTGCGCACCCCAGGCATGCCTAGCCAATAGCAGCACCACTGATAGGCTGAGACCCACATAACCCAACCCCTCACCCACCCATCCGAAATCCTAAAGTGCCTAAAGCTCGGGGCTGGGGAGACACAGGTGGAAGCCGGGGCGCCCGGCACTTGGAGACTTGGTGTCGTGGGTTCCAGACAGTGTGTGGTCAGGGCAGGTGGAGCCAGCCCACCCGTGTCCAGGTCTTGCCTCACTACCTGCATTGTCCAGCCCTTGCAAGTTGACCTCTAGGAGCCTGGTCAACTTGGTCAGTGGACCCCCCACCCCCACCCATTCAGAGTCTTACTACCCCCAGGGTCCAAGGCCTTATGTGCCCCAGCCAGTCACCCCACCTCCCACAGCCACAGGTGCTCATGAGTATTGCGGGGTGGGGAGAGCACCGCCATGCTGCCTGAGACAACCACCAGCTTTTTTCCAGGCCTCCTTTTATTGACTCCAAGGGGCTGCCAGAGTTATAAATAGATGTTCTTGAGCTAAAAATAGCCTTGCTGGAGGGACAGCCCATGCTTGTAGCTTTCGGTCTCTTTGAGGACTCTTAAGGATGCAGGATTCGAGGGGCTCCCTCCTCCGGCAGCCCCACACGTGTGTATGCTCGCTCACAAGCATGGGCGTGCACTCACATACACATGTGCACACACAGGCCTGGCTGTGTCACTGGTGTGGGCTACCTGTCTGATTAGAAAGTGGGAAGAGTCCTAACGTAAGCAGGCCAGACCTCCAAGGTCAGATCCTGCGAGGCCTGGCACCGCATAGCCACGGGGCCATGAGGCCAAGGGCACTGACGTGTGCGGAGCCAGCTTCCTGGAGATTGTGGGAGAGAAGAAATTCCTGGGAAACACCTGGAGTAGTGCCTGGCACACAATGGGTGCTGGACGCACAGGATTCGTGTTATGTATGGTTAACAGCCAGGCAAATTGGGAGTGACCCAGAGTCCTGCCTAGAAGCCTGTCCTGTGAGAGCTCTGCACAGTGGCTGTCTCTCTCTCTCTCTCTCTCTCTCTCTCTCTCTCTCTCTCTCTGCAGCTGCACCACCCAAAGCAGCCCTGGCAGGGAGGGAGGGAGGTCTGGAGGCTGGCTGGGGGCGACCTGAAGGACAGGAACCCAGTGCTGATGACAAGGGTGAGGGAGACAGCAGAGGCCTTGTCCTTGTACCACGTGAATGTATTCAATAAGTTACAAAATATTTATAAGCTAGTTGAAGACACTCCATATAACCAGACCCCCATTTCTGATGAAAAGGAGAAGTGTGGTGTATGCACGTGCGTTCCCACGCACGTGCATACACACACATGCACGTGCACACACACACGCACACACACGTGTGCACACAAGCACACATGCATGCACATGCATGTGCGCATACACATGCACACATACATGTACGCACACATGCATACGCGCGCACACACATGCGAGCTCACACGTACATGCACACACACACACTCATACACGTGCACAGGCACAAGGTCTGCAGGGAAGCATGGAACTATTCCTAATGGTTATTCCTGGGGAGTGGGATGGGGGGGAGTTTAGGGGCAAAACTGAGTCTTTATTTTACATATCCTGTTACTTACATTTCAGTAGCACCCAACACTGTGAGCGAGCGTTCCACAGCTGGCACAGCTGAAGCCCTGTGCTCCACCCTCCTCACTTCTGCCGGGCCCTCGTCCAGCGCTGCTCCCCACCTGGCCTGCCCTGCCCTCTGCCCTCTGCCCTCTGCCCTCTGGGTTAGGGACAGTCTGGCTTTCCAGGACCACCCCCCACCCTCCCACCCGCAGCCTGAAGAAAGAGGCAGCTGGAGGCGCGGAGAAAACATCCATCTCAGGATTTATTACAACACGTTTTTTCCAAATACAAAAGGGGACAGGACAGGAGCAGAAAGTGTGGCCGCGCTGGGGGGAGGGGTCTGAGGCAGGGGCCACCGGGCGGCCCAATCTGGGAGCCCTACAGGGGGACCTGCCACCTCTACACTGGACTTTCCAGCAAATAATAGGAGGGGCTGGGGCCACTCTGGGGCCACCCAATGCCAGGGCACTGGGCGGGGCAGGAGGGTGCAGGGCCCATGGGGACTGGGTGGGGGGACTGAGGCCCCGCCCTGTCCGGCCCAGGGCAGTGGGTGGAAATGACCAGGGAGGGGCCCCATGCCTGGTGCCTGCCCCCCCAGCATAGAAGGGGGGCCTTCTCCTGAGTAGCAGCTGCTCACTTTGGGGTGATCAACGCTTCAAGAGCAAGAACCCCCACACCTCCCCCCAGAACAGAGGCCGTGAGCTGCGCCAGCCTTAGAGAAAGGGTGAGGGAGGGGAGGACGGGCCGTGGGACTTGCCGCCAGACTTCTGGGGCCCAACCAGTGGCCCCAGACCACTGTCTCCTGGACAGCATAGCGGGTGGAGGTGTGGAGGGGGGGACCAGTGCATCCTCCACACCCAGGGTCACCCAGAAACCCAACGCGCGATAGACAAACAGGAGGCAAATTTACATAATCAATAATAATAATTAACCAATAATAATAAATACTTAAACCTCTAATCCATAGATTGCAAATACAACAATGATAGCTTATTTCTTGGGGAACGGGGTGAGGACAGAGGGAACAGGAATAGGACTTCTGCTTAAAGGAGGCACGACGGGGACACAGGGCTATGGGTCCAAAGAACAAACAAACAGCCAGAAGGGGCAGCTGTGGGGGGAGGCGCCTGCCCCACCCTGCTCCAGGAACCAGTCCTGCCCAGGCCACAGCTCTGGCCAAGCCCCTGGCCTCTTCCCAAGGCGGGTGGCCTTCTCTCCTAGGCCCTAGGACATGTGAAGGTCGGGGATGTCTACTCCCTCCAAAAGCCTTGGGTCCCAATAACCCAAGTGGGCGTGGGGCTGGGAGGGGCTGGGCCTTTGCTCCAGGCTGGCTTACTTGGGCCAAAAAGCCACCTGGGCGTGGGGACTGGCATGTCACCTTGAAGATACTGGGAGACTTCCGAGGGGAGAGCTCCCAGGGAAAGGGGTTGTGTGCAGGGGGTTTCTCTCCCCGGAGGCTCCTGTGGGGGTGGGGCAAACATGGAGGACACCCGTCTGCTCACGTCAGGGGTCTTTATCTGCCTGGAGCTGGCTCTCCCAAAGCTAAGGACCCCACCCCGGGAAGCATGACGGTCTGCCTCCCTCTGCAAGGCCCCTCAACCTGCAGGAATACACCTGAATTCCAAGTCTGGCCTGGGGCCCGGGGCTGGTGAGGGAAGAGCCTAGAGCAAGACCCTAAACCCATCTGCCCTCTGACCAGTGGAGCCAGCACTGACCAGCCCGGCCCCTCCTGCCAGACACCCTGAGGCCCAGCTTCTCCACCTGTGTTCCCCCCACCCGGCAGGTGGTGCTCAGGGGCACGGCAAAGCAGAGGAGAGGGAAGCAGCCTCCTCTGAACAGCCTTGCTGAGCCTGTGAAAATGGCCCCAGGCTCAGGCAGGAGTGGGGGGCGTCCCACTTCCATCCCTGCCCTGGGACTCCCATCATCTGACACTGACACTCCTGAGCCCCTTCACCAAGTCCTACCCTGTTCTGCTCCTCCGAGCACTCGGGTCCCAGCAGGCCCAGGCCTGCAGGGCTGGGCGGTGGGGGGCCCTCCATGGCGCCCCGGAGCGGGCAGGGGGCAGGGAAGGACTCCTGGGCCACAGCTCCTATGGCTTTGGTGCAGAGCCCAAGAAAGGGGAAGGAAGACGGTGAGGAGAGGTTGGGGGGGAGGGTAGGCAGGGAGGTTCTGCGGCTCAGTTTGTGGCAAAGTTTTTTTTTTTTTCCTTTTTCCCCCTTTTTCTTATGTAAAAAGTGCACAAAAGCTCGGCAGCCTCTTTGTAACTGGTCAGCAGTGTTTCCTGGGGGTGGGGTGGGCGGGGAGGGGACCCCAGGCCTGGCACCCCAGCTTGCATCTGAAGGTGGCCTCATATTGCTTAGAAACGAGTCTCAGTTTAAATACCAGACTAAAAATAGAGCTTGGAGGACTGCCCTCACTGCTGCCAAATCATAGCCAGAGTGAACAGCTTCAATAAATAAAAAATCGAAATATTTACTTCTCGATAAAAATCGCAGTAAAACCATTTACCTTTCTTTGCATTATATATAATATATATTTATAAGGGGCCCGGCTGCTGGCGGCCCAGCCGAGGGCAGCAGAGGGCTCGGGGCGCTGGGTCCCCGGAAGGGCCGATCGGGCCGCCGTCAGGACACCTCGATGACCTCCACGCTGCCCGAGAAGCTGGCCTGCTTGCCCAGGGCGGCCAGCTCCTCGCCACGTGCGCGCCCCTCTACCATGCCTTCCTCGAACTCCATCTGGCAGCTTCGGCGCTTGAACTGCGTCTCTGGGGTGGGCTCGTCCGGCCAGCTGGTCCGCGCGTCCCGGGACTCGGCCCTAGTCGCCTCTCGCCGCCGCAGGTCGCTGCCGCCCGCGCCCTGAGAGCTCGCCAGGCCGAAGGGCGCAAAGCACGAGCCCTGTGCGCCCTCGGGGCTGAAGCACCAGAGCCCATCCGGCGACGGCGTGCCGGGGGAGTCGAGCGGCGGCGTCCAGCCCCCAGGACCAGCCGGCTGGCCAGGGCCCGGCAGCCCGGGAGCCGACAGGGCCGAGAGGCCGTGTCGTGGAGTCTGCCGCGAGGCATCCCCGAAGTTCAGGCCGAGGCCGTGCGCGGGGGAGCGCGCTGGGGAGCCCGCCGGAGGCCGGGGCCGCCGGCGGAGCCGCGGGCGCATTTCGGGTGCCCCGTCTGGGCTGTCAGGGCCGGGCGAGGTCAGGCCTAGCGCGCCTGCCGACGGGCTGTCCAACTTGCAGAGCTTGGGGACCTCGCCCGGAGCGGGGGCCCCAGGATCGTCGGGCTGCCGGCTGGGGGCGTAGGCCGACTTGATGTCCAGCGAGAAGGAGCGCTTGAGGCGGTTGGTGTCCTGGAGGCGGTCTGAGGAGAGGTGCAGGCCACGCAAGCCCTGCTGCAGCGCGCTGGTGGCGGGGCCCCCGGCGGGCGAGGGGGGCTCCCTGCTGGTACTCGGCGGAGCGCTCTCCCTGGCTGCTTTGGCGGCTGCACTCCCGGTGGCAGCGCTCTCTGAGGTAGGTGGTGGCAGCGGCGGCAGTGGGGCCACAGGGCCTGGGAGGGGCTCGGGCGTCCCTGGGTGTGATGTCCCGTCGCCCTGCAGGGCGGCCAGAAGTTTCAGGCTGCGCTCATACTCCAGCAGTTGGCCGAGGAAGTTGAAGTTGGGCGAAATGGATGGGCGCCGGTCCTTCACGAACCTGGGAAGAGAGGCGGCTGGATGGCAGGGGCCCTGACCCCTGGGCCACTCTGTTGCTAGTGGGGGGGGGGGGGGGGGGGGGG